GTAGTTAGCCAGATGCAGTTCTCTTCTGTTAACCATTTTCAGCCACCCAATCTGATTTATGAAAGAAGATACATGATCTCTGAATTTCAAACCAAAAATCAATCTTGTACATGTATTCTGAACTCTCTGTATTCTTGATGATGTGATTTGATCGAGACAAGGGCCGTATACGATATTGCAGTCATTGAATATGGATAAAATTGAATTATTGCATAAAATGATTTTCATGTTTTGACTGATAAAATGTCTATTCTATAAAGTGAAGCATACCATCGAATGCAGCTACTTTATGCTGGTAGGGATGTGTGGAGGAATTATGTATGATAATATCTGTAAAAGATAGTTTGTGGCAAATTGCAAAACCATGTTTATTATTAATTTATTTTAACATTTAAGTCAAAGCATTTCATTGAATTAGGTATTCATCTTTCTTTCAGTGGTGAATTTTATTGACGCGTGAATGGAATTGACATATTCGACAAACTTATCTTTTTGCCTAGCTGTACCACAAGGCTCTCCGTTATCTCCACTTCTCTTTAATTTATACTACCATGATATATACAAACACAACTTGGAAGACAACAATGAATTTAATAAAAACCTTTACATCTTACAATATGCAGATGACACTGCCTTAGTTTCACACAAGTGCATGCTAGCACTCAAAATAGAGGAACTGCAAAGCCTGCAGGACAAGACAACGCTCTGGTTCGATAAATGGCGATTGAGACCAAACCCGGAAAAATCACAATTTGTCATTTTTGATCACAACCCTTCAGAGAAGCTACCTACAATAAACATCAACAACGAAATAGTAAAAAGCAGGTAATCAGTAAAATACTTGACCACATTGACCAGCCGTTCAAAAATGCTGAAGCTGAAGAACAACCAACCAAATTCAAATACCCAGAAAAAACTATTTGGGAAAACATCAAATCACTCTCATAATTTATTATGGACTCTTTTCCCTTTTTTCCAAAAATCTTATGTACCTCAATTCTATTATGCAAGTATTGGTAAAAAACACTGTAAATATTTCAACATTGTACACACTGGCTGAAGGACTTCAGTCGATGGCTCTTTGGTATTCACCAATAAATGACATTTATTATTACTATTTATTTACATTTCACTTACCCGTTTGGTCAATACACATCAGTGTTCCAGGTTTGACGTCTCAACAGAATGAAAGTATCAATATTTTCACATATTACATGCTTACAGTTGGGTATTAGTGAACCCAAAAGTGGCATTAAGACTGGCCTGGGAATGCCGTGAAGAACTGAGAAATCTGGCGGGCAAGAATAGATCGCCTCTATACAAGGTGCCAGTACACTCAGGTATTATAGGCAACGAAAAAGCTGATGAATGTACTAGACATAGATGCTCATCTCCACATATTGGTCCTGAACTAGCTGTGGGAGTACCAATATTTTTGGTATGGAACCAGATTTGGAAGTGGGTCTAGGAGAAACATAAACAGTATTGTGAAAATACAATTTATATTCTTCGTTATAGGTACTGACTTAAAAAGTTCAACAGTTTTTATTTCATCAATAACATGATGCGGATATGAAGAAAAAAAGTCTATCTATGTGTGGATATCAATTCTAGGCAAATTATCACTTTGTTTGCTTAGGAGGTCTTCTTCAATTGTAACGAACAATGACAACTACACTATCTATATATAACAGAAAAAGAGCTATCCGAAAAATACTACAGACAGCGTGAGAGCCCCAGTGCAACTATTAGATTTTCATTAACATCGTGAAACTTCTTCATTTCAAATTATGTTATTTTTAGGTTTCACCCATTACCAGACGGCCTGGAAAACTAGGAGATACAGTTCATATTATTCAATTGATCAACAAAAATAACACATCCTAATCTTGTAACTATACAAAGTAATTTTTTTATTAATTTTCCAAACATTTTCACCCTATTTTCACCTTATAACATAATTTATTTTACTTTAGTACATCGTAATCTTGTAAAACCATTCATACAAATGAGCATCCTCCTTCGAAATTTTCATGCTTCTAATAATAATAATATATTCTTGAAGTTAGTGACGATAGAAGTCGATGCCAATGACACAAAAAAATACATATTTTTTTTTCAATAACCAGAAATGCGGGGCCGGAAACGCAGAGAGAAGCTTCAGACAGATGGTCCAAGAGGCGAATACTACAAAGGATGGAAAATCTTTATAGGAGACGCTTGAAAAAAGCTAACCTGAGTGACGAATACCATCGAGGCAAATACCACAAAGGATGGAAAATCTTTATAGGAGAAGCTTGAAAAAAGCTAACCTGAGTGACGAATACCACCCCCTCAGACAACCTGGAACACTAGTTACATTCCATTCATTAAACCAATCAATAGGCATATGTAATTGAAAAATTGGAATTGTACAAAGGCATTAACAAAAAAAATGATAATTCAATATTTTTCTTTCAGTGTATTATGTTGTGTGGATAACATCATTACTATATTACTTTCCTAATACCCCAGAAAAACTACTAATAGACTATATATACTTTTAAATTGGAAATGTAGTGAATTAAATTTGAGATGTTGTTAATAAGAAATTCATCAAATATTTTACAAAAATTCTCTGGGATATTTTGTTTTTTCCCACTGTTGAACAGTTGTATATCAACCATACTGGAACATTATGATAATAGTATTATTTGCTTTTAAGGAAGAGAACTTCAAAATAATAGTCAAAAACAGGTGTTTCAAAAATCAATAACTTTACATTTATAATGATATAATTTTTAGGAAGGGTGTGTTATAGATATGACATGACCAAATAAGTACAATACTGCTTATAATACAAAATCATTTTTGACAAGCTTTTGTTGAAAATTTTAGTTTGTGGGAATAACACTTGTTACAACCAAATTAAAATGCATAGTGATTTTCGAAATATCATATGGGTTATTGTTGACGATGTCCTCGAAAATGACTAACCAGCTGATTATAGAATCGATAGAACTCAGGTATGTCAACAAAATGTCGGGAAGATTACAAAAACGCCCACAGAAGAAAACAAGTCACAATCGATTCCTTGCACGCATTTTTTTCAAACCTACCTCGATATAATTGTGCTACAGCAGTCGCTGAATCTTGAAATGAGGACCATATTTTAGTATTAGAAATATTATTCTCGGCTACAAGATTTTGTTCATAGTTCGGTTGTTCTTCTATGGAATCAACACACTGCTTTTCCCAATTAGTCAGCCAATCTTCATTACCACCTTCACCATTCATTATGATAAATTCACAATAGCTTATAACAAAATTAACGTTAATAAATTAAATAACTACGCGACAATTTTCAGAGAGTGCTAACACCAAGACATTTCTTTTTTCTTTTATTTCCTGGTCTGGCATCCTGGCACACCACCGTTGCCGGCTGTTGGAATCCAATATATTAGTCCCTCAAAAATGTTGTTTTCCGTCTCTGAGTAATTTTATTTTCCTCGATCAAATTCATCGAAAAATATAGGTTTGTATCTTATACATCATCATTGATGCAGCAAATGAAGGTTCAAAAGATATTTGTGAACAAAATACTCAGCAAAGTTCTGAAAAGTTGCCTGAAATTGATAAGTTTGGCAACCGCAATATAATGAGTTATTCATCCCTTCTTTTCTCACATTCTTTCTGATGTTGCCATATCTATCGAGTTTCAGAGTTCCTTCATTGTTTTCATGTTTCTGATTATTGGTGTTTCCCATTGCAAAAACCAGTGCACATTCAATATATCTCTGTCCTCTTTTTCTCAACGCATCAATCTTCAGGATGACTAGGGTTGTTTTATAGGGAAGTTACAATATATCAAAAATGTTGTAACTGTTTCGACACTGTAGAAAAAATAGTGTTGAGTTTAAACTGATATGGAATATTTCTCCGATAACGTAAATCATTTTACTTTAGTACATCGTTATAATCCTGTAAAACCATTTATACAAATAGGCATCCTTTTTATCAAATCCTGATTTTCATGCTACAGTGAAGAAATGGTAATTCAGAGGTCTGTGAACTAGACAAAATCGGTAGCCAAAAAGTTAGATTTCAGTTTGCTGGGAATTCAACCTGTTAACCAACTGCAAAGATGTTTTACTATCATCAGAAAATAAACGCACAAATCGATTTCAATTCAATATTTCAACCAAATCTTATGTATTATACGGTCTCTAACTGATTTCAAGAACGAATTGGCGTACATCGAAGTAAGTACAGAAACAAAACGACAGGGGTTTAAAATAAGCTAAGCGGTGCTAACGGTAGACAGGAAACGCAATCAACCACGAATAATGACGTGAGCGGGTATCAGAAGTTATGTGCCATTCACCTCAAAATTAATGCCCGCCGCTCACTTACTCGAGCTATATTCTTTGACTCCGTATGAATATAGGAATTACGGATGACGCTTCGGATTCCGCACGTACGACTCCGACGTTTCGAAAACGGTGAGTTAACAAAAAGGCCAGCACAAGTGGCGAATACCACAAAGGGCTGGAAACGCGAAGAGAAGCTTTGAATAAATGATTCTAAGTGGAGAATACCACCAGGGATCGGAAAACATTAGAGGAGACGCGTGAAGAAAAGGTAGTCCAAATGGCGAATACCATGAAGGACCAGAAACGCGGAGAGATATTTCGAACAGATGACCCAGAGCTGAATACCAGAAAGGATCGGAGAACGTAAGAGCCGCATGAAGATACTAGTAAACAGATAGACACACTCCCGATGCGATTCGAACCTAGTTGGCGGCGGACAGGCACTTACTATACTTATTGCCTACGTACGTCTCCTACCTTGTATGATTCAAAATTACCCTCTGTCTTATTATTATTTGTGAAAGTCATATTGAGAGGACTGGCGGCCCCCTAGTGAAAAAATTAAGTGTTTTTATGGAAGAAAACGTAAATGAGAAAACTTAAAACAGCATTGCGTAGAGAAAGACAGCTGCACCCCCGGACGAAGCTTTTGTTCACTATGGACTGGAGGTGTCTGGCCAACTGCGCTCGACTGAGAAGCGACGGCCTTATAAATTAAAGAAGAAGAAGCTAACTTCAGGGTGTCGGTTTTTCGTGACGGTATACGCACATCGTAAAAACTTACTCTGATCATCTTTCCTTAACGCGCCAAAAGAAGCATAACTTCAGAAAAGTCAGTCGTTTCTTAGTGCGACTCTGTACAAGCAGCCTTGTCTGGGAGATCACGTGCACTATGCATGATAATATTTTGGAGCACAACATTGCTTAGAAGGACAGAGTAAGTATAGCTGGCCATCGAGCTCGGACCGGATGTAAATGACGCTGAATCGGTATAGACTACATTGTGATATAATTCAATGTCATCATGACCGAGGAATTTAATGTTTTCCCGCAGACATTTATCAGCAAACATTCACCAGAACCTACTCTGTAGGAACGTTGGGAGAAGTTACTGTTTCAACGGTTGCTATATAGAGCTTTGAGGGACTATATAGAGCTTTGGCACTGATTTTGCCAAGCATCGTGACGGCAGTTCGTATAGAGTCCAAATTATGCTTACTTTAAAATAACTTGATTAACGTGAGAGTTTAACAAATCTTTCTATAGAATGTCATAACATAATGGCTGAATCATACAAAAGCGTATAAAGGCCATCAAAATTGATATTATTTTTTCGCCATTTACACTTTCAACCGTGAATTCACACTTTTACTGTGAGTTGACACATGTAACTGTGAATTCACACGTGTGACAATGAATTTACAATTATCACGATGTAACAATGAATACTATTATATAATTCAGTAAAATTGACAAGATGACATGAATATTGTAAATGAACACATTGAAAGAGAATCACATTTCATCAGTATATGTATCGGTATAGTATGTGGTAATAGTATATTATACTACTATAGTCTTCAATCGATTCAATAAGTTACAGAGCGTAATCACAAATTATTATTACGATATAACAATGGATAATATTATATAATTCATATTGTAAATGAAAACACTGAAAGAGTATGACATTCCAACATTATATGTATCGGTATAGTATGTAGTAATAGTGATTATACTACTATAGTCTTCAATCGATTCAATAAGTTACAGAGCGTAATCAAAAAATTATTTTTTTTCAGATTCTTTCTGTTGTATTTCTACCAAACTTTTCGTGAATAATAATCGGGGAGGGAACTAACGAAGAAGATGACAAAACAACTTGGCATCATTGCCATATAATTTTCCATCAGGTTGTATTTGACAGTTGACATGTTGTTTATTTATAATATTTATTGACAGTGACATATGAATTATGTTTTGCCATGGTTGAGCAAACAATTAAAACAAATTATATATAAAGTAAAAAGAATTATTTGCGACTTACCACATCAAATATAATGGAGGTGTTTACAGAAGAAAAATTCTGCAAGTATTGTGGAGAAAAGTTGGTTATCAGTTTGGAAGAAGGATTAGAATGCTCAGAATGTAATAGTAATGTGCATGTGAAATGTTTGAGAAGGGGATCTGCACCAGGATGTTTATACGGAGACTTATTTTTTTCTTTTACTTGCCAAGAATGTTCTCCAGACAATACTGAAGTGTTCTCAAGAATAAAATTATCTTGGTAAGTATTTACCAATTTCAAAAATAAAAAAATCATTATTAAAATCATCATAGAATTGAATGAATTTTGCCGAAAATGAAAAATTAATCACAGTAAAAATGAATTATACATTCTTGGTTACTGAATATAGTTATCATTGATTAGAATTTAATTTTGTACTTTCATTTCATTTATAGTTTTACTCAAAACGTTTTTCTCATAATTTGCCAAGGAAATAAATACTAAACATTGGAAAAGTTGAGTTACATTAGGCAGTTCTTACCTAAAAAAACATATAGTGTGACAAGATTCAATGACAGTATTCAGTAATTAAGTAAGTATGAAATATTTTTACTAGAAATTATTCTATATTCTTGGCAAAACTTTTTTATTCTTCTCAGTATATTAGCTTAGTACTTTTCGAAAAAAACATATTTTTAAAGATATTTTTACTATAATTTTTTTGTACTGATCTTGTTCTGGTCTTTCCAAAAGAAATTTAGCACCAGATTGTTTGAAGTTTATATATCTGCGGGATTAACTGATGCACAGATTTTTTTAATATTAGGCTTGTTTTTTAATGCCTAGATAAATGTATTTCATATTATGTAAAACGTACTATTCAATTATAGTATAAAATTAATCGCAAAAAGGGCATGAATTCATCTTTGATATTATCGTTGATCCTAAGGCAAAACGACGAATGTGAATTGTTGCAAACCCACGAATGTGCAGATTTCTCATTTTGAAAAACACAAAACACAAAACACAAAACAAAACACAAAACTAAATTCAACCATGCATTTAGGCGAACTTAGCTTTATTTCACATTCCTGGTTTCGCCTTAGGACCGATGACTCTATATTCGTGGTTTTGCTTTAGGACCGACGATATGATATGGCACTGTCAAACCAGATTGATACTGTTTTTGTTTTTATGAAAAACTTGGAGGTGAAGTAGGCTTTTAATAACTTCCCAACTATTTTTCATGACATCACACGAGCAATTTATTAATTATGTGTTTGTATTCTAGTACAAACTTGGCCATAACTGGTCTGTGAGACCAGGTGACATGGTGATATATTTTTCTCAACAAATAATTTCTGTGAAGAGACATTTTTTAGACAAACTGTTTTTGTGTCCTAAATACTCATTTGTGATTTTTTGCAAATGAGAATTTATAACCAGAAAAACCATGGGAGCCTGAGTGTAATGTGTTTGATGGGCTGATATTCGTTTGTCAACTTCAAATTATTATTTACATTACAAGGTACAAACTATTCATTAATGTTCATATGTATCTAAAGAATGCAACACTGCAAACTGTGTGCAACACTGATTGTTGCATAGTTTGAACATATTATTTTACTTTTACTTTAAGAAAGTTGTCGCAATTTAAATTAATTTGAGCATTCATACATCACACTTTTAGTTTTTTTTTTCATTGTAATGAGAGTTCTATTGGTGAGCACTTTTCATTTAAAGAATCAACAGTGTAGTCAGTAGTTTTCATAAAATAACTGTTCGTTTTTAAATTAGCATTCCACTATTCTATGAACTGTAACAATCACATATATTATAATATATTTTCTCAATTTTCTGTTTCAATTTTAATCACCATTTAAATCTTTTCAACAATTTTCCCAAAATCAATAATATTGTGAGGCACTATTTGTTTTAAATTGAAACAGCCTATATTCGATAACCGAAATTCAAGTCCATAGCGCATGCACCTATTTTTCTTCAGCAATGGTGACTCGATTTAACAATTTTTAATCTTTATTATCAAAGAAAAAGTATAAGATGAAGTAAAAATAAAAGTTTGGTGTACGAATCAGCCATGAGGCTGAAAATAAAGAAGTGATCTATTGTGAATCTGATCATAAAAAATAGACCTGAAAAGTAGTGAATTGAAGAAACGTACCCAAATCAAAGTTGTTCTGAAAACAAATGTGTGTTTTGAGTTTAGGAAAAGAATAGAAAAACTGAAACATAAAAATGTAACCATTTGAAACTGCTGCTTTGAACACTTTGAATCAGAATTCATCCAAGCTCATTGTAAATTTCTGTTTTGATTCAAACACTAGAACTTATTAACACAATAGTTATTGATGATTATGACTGGTTCAATTTATTTTATTTTTAAATTCAGGTTGCAAGCAGTTGCTCTAGTTCTGTATCACCTTCAGACTAAATGCCCTCATTTAGCTAGTAAAGGATTTTTCCATTGGAGACAACATATTGGCAAATATATAGAAACACACTGGGAAATATTATTTTCAAGGGAAACTAAAAGGAAAAAACAATGGACTGGAATGGTAACAGGGACTTTGTCTCGTTACAGTGACTACATTTTTCTCTCAGGAAAAGCAGCTCTCAATAAACCAGCAACTTGGACATTAATGTACCCAAAACTTACTCCATATGCCATTTCCTGTTTATGTCAGTTGAGAAAATTGTACACTATTATTGTGAATTGAATATGTCACTATAAAAGTTTAATAATGATTTTTTTGTAGATTCTGTAATGATTATCGAGAAACAGGAAATGAAAAACAAACAGCAAACTCTTATTCCAGATGCTGATCTTTTTCGGGTAACGGTTCGTAAATATATCAGTCACAAAGATTGTTTGGAGGTTATCACAGATTCACAGATATTTTCTGGACCCAAAAAAAGGGCTTTCAAAAAGGTGCAGAAGATAAGGGAAATCCAAAATGCAAAACACAAAATAAGGAGAAGAAATATTGTACCACATATTTCTGAAAAGTAAGTGAAATCATATCCAGGCATCCATTACATTCAATGTTAGCCATACATCGATAGTAAACATATTGAAAGAAAATAAGATGCATCCCTATAAAATGATTCCTACTTAGGAGCTCATGGAAGACGATTTTGATAGAAGAACTTATTTTTGTGAGCAAATGTATGTTGGATAACAATATCATCCAATTAGAAAACGTTAGGTTTTTTGATGAGTGTGCTTTGTCTATTAACGGTAATGCTAATTGAGAAAATTTCCGCCACTGGTCAATGGAAAATCCTCACTGGATGAGAAAAAACCCTGCAATATCCTCAGAAGGTTAATGTTTTGGCAGGGATTTTAGGAAATCATATCATTGGTCCCTTTTTCATTAAGGACAACTTGAATTGGGGTAAATATTTGGCCTTACTTCAAAATGATGTCATTCTAAGTTTAACAAATTTATATCTTGATCAAAAATACCCTCAACTACCACATTACCAAGTTAATGTCCGGCAATACCTCGATACAACATTTCGCAATCAGTGGATAGGGAGGCGAGTATCGATTGAATGGCCAGCGCGATCACCTGATCTTTCATCATTAAATTTCTTTTTATGAGAATACTAGTACTATGTTGCTATATCGCTACTGTTCCAATGTTTTGACAGAATCATAATCAACGAACTTAGGCGTGCGCAGCGTTATAGAACAGTGCATTCAAAAAATTGTTCTACAGCGCCATCTAGTGACGAGTTACAGAAACATTGATAGCCTAAAAACCTTTTCTATGGAAAATTATTTATACATGTCAAGTTTCATCACGATCAGTTGGGCGATGTTGACGTTTATCACTTACCAACCAACCAACCAACAAACATCCATCCATTTTTATATATTAGATGTAGAGAGCAATGTGTACAAAACTAAACTTTCAGATTTGAATGACTTAAAAGAACAAATAATGCTTGCGATTAGGTAGGACACGCCTGATATGTTAAATAATGTTAGAAGACAGTTATTATTTGAGATTAGAATGTTGCCAAGACATTCGCGGTGAACATTTTGAACATCTACTTCGTTAACATCCATAGTTCTTTTTCGTATTCTACATTTCATTACGTTTTGCATTACATTTTAGTTTTTGAGTGTATTTTATCAAATTTCGGCAACCACATCATTCTAATTTATTTTATCTCAATTGTTGCAATGAACTAGAAAGAGATAACATTTTTGAATAGAGAGTGAAGAGACCTTTCAAACAATTTATCACACCTATACTTCCCATTTAAAAAATTGGGGGTTGTATCTGTCATTCGAAGGGGGTTGAAGGTAGGGGTGGCACTTCTACGTTGAAGAATATCAAATTATAATAGGGGAGCCCAAGCGGGGATTCGGGATTTACTAAAGCGCGGCAGATTAATATACAGGGGGATACCTTGAACCCTGTTAAATACTTCCACCAAATATGAGCTCCATATATAAGGCCGCCTGTGAGGAATAAAGGATCAGATTAGTAAAAAAAAATTGATCATCAGAAATTCTCGAGCGCGTCAGATCAAGGTAAGGTGAGTTAAATACCTGCTAAAAAGTGTATATTCCAGTAATCTGACAATTTGAGAGTGACGGAAAGAAAGGGGAGGGCAGCAAAGTTGTAAAAAGAAAACGTCATCTCGACATTCTCGAGCGTAGCTATTTTTATTTTATTTTGAAGAAAATAATTCGAGGATATCGAAAAATTTATAATTTGACGATTTCCGCAAGCCGAAATAACAAAAATTCGTTGATAAAGTTTAATGCGTGCAGCTGTGTGATACCTATATTTCCCTCTCAGAGTTTCTATTCCTCTATTCTCTATTCACTTTTTCTCTATCTATTACTCTCTCACTCCGTCCCCACTCTGAATTCTGTTGCCATGACGCCATCACAGCTGATCACAGAGACTCGTTCGTGATGAAGATGATGATTAATTAATCAATTAATTGATGGATGTAGCAGTTACTTCGTGGTAGGAAATCATAATGAAGAAAAATCATCAGATGAACAGCCTACAACTAGTTCTTCAGATTTTTTGGACAACCCTCAAAATCATGACAAAGATGTCAAAGAAGAATTATTAGAATTAGATCCAAAGTATCATTTCAATACTTGCTTCATCAGTAAGTATTTCTCTAATGTTGAAATCTTTTATGGACAATCATCCATTTTCAAAATATCATTTCAAACTCGACTGTTCTTAAATATTTTGCCTTTACAGATTATTCTAAAATGAAAGGAATTAGTCTGTATACTAAATTGATGGGAGGACTCGAACCTGAGCCCATATTGTCACCGTACAGTGGAATCCAACTCAAACCTTATATCAGAAGAGATACAGAAACCTTTCCTCCTTGGTTAAAACTAATGGCAGAGATTCAAATCGTGGCGAATGAGAAAAACAGAAATAGTCCAA